AGTACTTTCCATGATCAACTGATAATGACGCATGTAATAATAATAATAGCAAACATGTATTACACATATTTATATACCAGATACCACACTAAACCTCAGATACCAATTGCCACACTATAAATAGGCATAAATGTGAAAAAAAAAACTTAGCATGGTGTCTGGTATATAATAAGACATTAAGAGATCACAGCTTTGATGTGGTGGAGCCACAGACTTCCCTCAAGTCTGTGTGACTGAAGCCCAAGCTGGTTATCACCATGGTGTTCTGTTGTTCTGAGTGGAGACCAGGGTGTCTCAGGGGCCATGAACAGGAGAAGAAAGGTATGGGGAACAAAGACCAGGAGCTCTGTATAGATTTTTAGGAAGTGGTGGAAGGGAGATTGGAGGGAACCAAGTAAAACATGAAAGAGTGTGCAGATGATTCTAGAAGTAGGACCAGGATGGGAAGGACAGACAGGGCAGTGGTTTAACCCTGGGCAGGAACACCTCCTATAGCACTGCTGATGATTCATTGCACATTGAGTGCCCGCTCTGCCAGGCTTGGACTAAGTCACCTTGGTGTGTTTGGCTTTGCCTGCAGCATAGACTCTGTGCCAGAGTTGTGCCCAGGGAAATGGAGGCCTGGTCTCAGAGCACCTGGGCCAGAGTGGGGCTTGTGGACCCACCCTAAAGGCAACAGAAGCCACTGAAGGACCCAGGTGCAGCTGGGTAAAGGAGGAATGGGGGATATTGTGGGAATTAGGTGAAAGACTAGGGTGGAGAGGGAGGCACAAAGACAGCTCATTAGATTCCAAAGACGGAAAGAAATCTCAGCCTTTATACAGCCAAGCAGATACAACCCATCACGTACCAAGAAAAGCCCTCCAGCATCCAAACCTCTTCCCTGGCCAGAGGATGACAGACTCCAGAGCAGGTGGAGAAGTTGTCCTCTGTGATGTAATTGCTCCGAGCAGGGAAGTTCCCTGGTCATCATACTAATAGTTGCTACCATTTACAAATCCTCCACCCCTGACAGACACTTTTAATACTTGGTTGCTATTTATCTCCATTTCACACACAAAGAAGCAGAAGCCCAGAAAGGTTACGTAACAGGTAACATGACTAAGAAGCATCTAGGCCAGAATTTAAACTGACTTTGGGCTTTTGACCCATGATGTCTTTGAAATGCAAATCTGCCAAATATCCGCAGAAGTCTAAAGCTCCTACAACGTTTTATTATTTTGATATTTTTTTTTGTATAGGCAGCACACACATCTTGTACAAAAGAGGCTAGGTTTATACATGGCTCTATCCTTCCCTTGTTGACAAGCCACCCATTCCCTACCTGGATGCTAACAGAGCTGCCAATTTCTTTTGGGCTTTTCCTGAGATAGTCTATGCATTTACCCACACATTCATATATGTGAATGTTTTCATAAAATGAAGTGTACCATATTATATGTGCTATTAGGCATTTTGCTCTTTTCTCTGAACTTGTACATGACAGGCTGTATCTGATGGCTATATAAAAGAATGAGATTTCTTTCCGTCTTTGCAATCTCTTAGTAGATTGCTTGGAATGTGCCTCACACTCTGGCTTAATGTTTATTTGAGAAAAAGGCTGTTTTCTTTCTCTACTATCTTTGAAGAGGAGATTTCTGGGTTGGGAGAGGATTGTGTTTTTAATTGTATTTCCGCAACATGGGCATGCCATGCGAGCGCTCTGACTCTTACTATTCTCTTTGGAAAAGCACAGACAACCTGAACTCCCCTGTGTGTCCAGGAGTCCTGAGTGGGTGGTTCTGAGGGCGACATAAGATTCAGCATGCGAAGGCCCTTGCTGAGAGGCTGGCACGGGGGTGAAGCTTAGTAACTGGTAATAGTTGTGGCTGTGTTCCTCTATGAATACTACTGATCTCCTTCTCTGGCCCATGGTATGACCACCAGGTGCCTGGCCTAGTATGCCCACTGGCACAGGGAAGGAGGTCAGATGGTCCAGTTTCAAATCTGGGCTCTACCACTGACTAGAGTTACAGGCTTGGGCAAATCTCTTCCAATTTCCTTATCTGTAGAATAAAGGGTTTTAGGCTGGGTAACCATCAAGGATCTTGTTACCTCCAATGACTTATGATATTCTGACTGGCTTTTATTCGTAATGGGGGTCCATAACGTGGACCTCAGGCACAGCATTCTATCCCAAGTGCCTTTCTTCTCTCCTCTAGGAAGGCTTCCCTCAACCATCCCTACCTCTGTAGCTGGGCCAGGAGATTAAGCATTCTAGCCCAAATGCCTTTCTTCTCTCCTCCAGGAAGCCTTCCTTGAACCATCCCTACCACTGGCTGAGCGAGGAGAACATCTGGAATTCCACAACACCTCAGCATTGAAATAACCTATTTCCTGAAGTCAAGATCAAGTTTTCTCAGTAGCTGCCTGGATCCTGGCATGAAGTGACAGTCACATCACGGTAACTGTGTGCATGAAGCTCTCCCAACATTCTCACATACAAAATGTAGTACTGGGATTAGTATCCCTTTTTGGTAGAAAAGGAATCAACCCCAAAGAAATGAAACTATGTCCTATATTCATACATCTGGGTTTCAAGTCCTTATGTCTCACAGCTGTATGTCACTGTATGACCATCCAAGCTCTCCTCAGTGACCTGGTTTTCCCTCCTTGAATTCCATCTTCTCCCGTCTCCTCTGAGCTGGTTCTTCTCATCAGTCCCTCTAGATCCACTCTCCACCCTTCTCAGTCCTGCTCTGTGCCTTGTGAGGCTGATGTCTTGCATGGCTGTTCCCTAGCTCTACTGAGCTCTGGCTTCCTGTTGAGTCTAGCCAATGGGATCAGAGGTTGGAGGGAGAGACTGGCCAGCATTCCCTCCCCGTTTCTGCTCTCTCCCTGCTGCTTTGGCAGTGACTGCCTTTCTCCACCAAACCCTTAGGTTTCCCAGGGAAGCCCTATCCTAGGCTTCAGTTCTCTTTGGGTTCCTTTAACACTCTTCCCTCCATGTGTCCCTTCATGTCAAGGCATGGTAACTAACTGGCCTCCCACTGTTGCCAATTCCTCTTGCTTCCAGCCCTTTCAGTTCCCTATAATCAGTCTGCATCTCACCAAATAGGTCCTTCTTTAAATCCCTCAAAACTCCATAAATGTTCTTTTTCTTTCAACACTCTTCTTTGAGTGGGCCAGCTGCTTCTTTTCAAGACCCTGATTGCTAAACGTAAGCCAGCCTCACTGCTATTTCCCTTTCTCTTTCTTCTGACGCACTAATGAGTTACATATGTAGCCTGGCCAAATGACAGTTCCAGACATCCCTGCGTGTCCACTCTCCAGGGAGATTGGTTTAACTGTCATAGAACGAATAGTAGGAGCCTTATTTATTTCTGGTGCACCTGCAATAGGGTAGGCACAGCAATAAAACTGGGGTGTAAGTGGTGAGTGAAGGAGACCCTGCACCTTCCTTCACGGGGCTTCCTATTCTGTGACTGCTCATGTCTCCAACTCACCTCCTGACTGAGCAAATCATTGGCCCTCCCTGCACCATGGCATTCCACTCAATGGTCTTCCAGGTAGACAAAGGTATTTTCTGGCATCTACTGACCTAAAGGATCTCAGACATTGTCTTGAGTGGCGGGCACTCATCTTGCCCCTGGGTTCCCGTCAGGCCTCAGAAGTGTGGAGAGTGCTGGAAACCACTCGGTGCCCCATTCAAGAACAACTGCCTCCTTCTGGCTGACAAAGGACCGAATCTCAGAGCACTGACTGGGCACCGCAATTTGGCTTCTTGTGGTACCCAATCCCATGTGGATGAGAGGTCGCGGCCTGACCTCCTTGGCCCTGCAGCTCCCCAACATGAGCAGCGTTTCTGGATTGTCTGCATAGTTCTACATTTTATGAGCCATGGCATGTGGCCACACATGCTGCTTCCTGAATCACAGTCTGTTTGTTGACACTGATGGGCTGGGAAGAGTTACAAATTAGCCACGCATCTCTGCTTTGAAGCTGCTTGGGATTGCTTAGAGACCAGGTTTCCAGTTAAACCAACTGAAATTTCCTTTGACATTTAATACTTTTGACACTTAATACTTAGAAATTAAATCAGCCATCATAGGTTTTGAAGGAGCATTTGTAAAAAGGATATTGCTTTTGAATGAAGCATTCTTTAGGCTTTGAAGGTAGATTTTTGATGTTCCTAGTCCAGAATTAAATTTTGACACCTGTACTCCCATTTCCCCACCATTATTCTCTTTAGACTCTATATTATTTTTTTGACTTGGCTCCAAAAACATGAGCCTATATAGACTCTATATTCTTCTCCCCAGTCTGTAGCAAGATCTTAGAGACAGACAATTGGGCAGGAAACTCTTTCTTGAGCACTTAAAAAATACTAGTTCTAAACTCAAAAAAGGGAATTATGTAAATTAATTCTAGCATACATATATAGGAATGTATATCTATAGTATCATGCTGCTTTGAACTTACTAACATAGTAGTAAAATCATAATCTATTAGAAGACTTCGAATAATCCGATCTACTTAAAAATAATCCCATCTTCCATCTACTATAGTACTTTATATGGAATTATAGATCCCAAACTGTTTATAGTGGTTAGCTCTAAGGGGCTATGGGTAGTAATTTTCTTTCATTCTTTGTCTGTATTTTCTAACTTTTTTCCAATGACCATGTGTCAATTATGTACTTTTTATAAGCTTTTAAAAACATAAATAAGAATGTTCCCAAATTGTCAGTACACTGTGGTTATAAAAATAGGAGGTTTGAGGCTATTTTCATGTTGAAAAAAGGGACAATTCATTCTTGGAAATATTGAGAATAAAAACCAGAATGAACCTCTCCAATCTGCCCTCCCTCTCCCCCAAATCTAAATTTTCTCTGCATGACAAAGCAAGGGACATGATGCATCAGGGAACTCTGCACTCGTCCAAAGCTGAAATAGCTGCCCTTGCCTGCAGAGTGCTGATGTCTACCCCTCCTCTCCCCAGATCAGAACAGTCTTGCTTACCTGGAACTGCACACAGGCCTCTCCTTGGGCCCGGAGCTGGCCAACAAGCAGGTAGGTGGTGAGTCCTGCCAGGAAGGGGAGCGACACCAGGCAGCAGGTGAGAGCCCAGCGCATGCTGTTGCTCCTGGTCTTGGGCCTGCAGCTGCCGTCTTCTGGCAACATTTCCACGCTGGCTGTTTCCCCAAAGCCCAGCCCCAGATCCTCAGCCATGCTCCTACTGGTCTCAGAAGCGCCTCTGACTCCTGGCCAGAGAGACCCTCCATTAAATAGAAGGCCAGCTCTCATGGTGGGTGAATAAATCACTCTGCCTACTCCTCCCTTCTTCCTCTCCCCACGCCCCTCAAAAGCACATTGTGGCCCCGCCCTGCTAGGGAATGCACCGCCTACATCAGAAACCAAATTTGGTTAACGGGAAAAAAAAAAAAAAGAAGAAGAAGAAGAAGAAGTAGAAGAAGAAGAAAGCTTTCCCAAGCATATTTATATACAGTAGGCTCATGTGCTCCTGCCTTCGTTTACAAAAGGAAGTTAGGAAAGTCCCTGGAGGAGGAGAGAAAGAAGTCATCAAGTCAGTAGGAGGGGCAAATGAAAATCTACCTGCTCCCTGAACTGGAGGCCTGCCAGCTGTGCTGGTCTGGGGAGCGTGCTTCTTCTGGAAGTGAAAGTGAGGGCTGTGTGTGTAGCTTGCAGACTGGGAAATGGAAATCACGTTTGCATCAGCCCTTTGCAAAGTGCTGCCCAGCCCTCTGTCCTTTTGAACCTCATGAGAACTCATGTGCATTGTACAGATGGGAATATCAAAGATCTGAAAGATGAAGTACCTGAAGACAGAGGAGCCAGGAAAAGAACCTAGTTTTTCTACGTCAGGGCTGGGATTCTGGCCTCTACCACATGACTGCCTAGGAAAAGAAAGGGCATTTCTAACCAGTGTTGACCATTGTTCAGTCAGAGAGTATGAGGTCATAGATAGATGCGATTGTCTGTGAAGGAAGGGTATTGAACTCTACTCTCTAGTTAGCCCAAAGTTAGTTGATCACCAGTGATATGGCTCACCTAATGTTGGGTATATGAGGGTCACAACATGCAATAAAAGCTACATTTATTAAGCACTTACTTTGTGCCAATCTCTGCTCTAAGTTAAATGTCTCGATAAAATTATTCAATCCTGAGATAACTTTTGTGATAATAAAATTATTATTCCTATCTTGCAGAAAGGGAAATGAAGCACCAAGAGTCAGTGGTAGAGTCAGAAAGGAGACACCTACTAATGGGGACAGAGCCAGAGCTTCTTCACCATTGACACACTCCACTCTATGTGCTACTGAGTAGCACACTACACAGACACTTGCGCCCTCTCTGCCCAGGAGGAGGTAATTCCCTCCAGAAAGAGCTCTGGGAAGGCTTCCTGGAGAAAGAGGTGATGTTGGACCTAGGCCTTGGAGCTTAGGGAGGATTGACCTTAGAGGAGAATAGAGGATCCTGCAAAAAGGTAGGTGTCAGAAATGGAAGTAAGGAACGGTCTGGAGCATATAGTGGAAAACAGTCTGACTAAAGTCTCCATTCAATTGCTACTATCACAGCCCAAATCCTTCAGCCTTCTTAGAAAGAACTTTCATGGCCTGGCCCCGATCTCGTCATCTTGCCCCAGTGTCTTGCCTCATTTCTTACTGCTTTCCCAAGCTGCAGTCCCCCGGAGACACTATGGACCAGCTGTGTTGTTGTACATGCTGTTCTCTCTGCTGTGGAAGCTTCTAGTCCTCTTACTTCCTTATTACTGTGATCCTTTATTCTTTTTTTTTTGAGTTGGAGTCTCACTCAGTCGCCCAGACTGGAGTGCAGTGGCTGCTCCCAGCCACCACAGTCTCGACCTGCTGGGCTCCCGCAATCCTTCCGCTCAGCCTTCCGAGTAGCCGGAATTACAGGCATGTGCTACCACGCCCGGCTGATTTTTTGATTTATTGTAGAGATGAGGTCTCACTGCCCAGGTGGGTCTCAAACCCGTGGGCTCAGGCAATCCACTCACCTCAGCCTCCCAAAGGCGTGGGATTACAGGCTGAGTCACCGAACCCAGCTGATCCTTTATTCTTTAACTGCTTGTAGAAACCTCTTTTGTATCCCCCGCCTCTACGATCAGGTGAGATGCTCCTTTTTTACGTTCTTATAGCTTCCCGTTCTTCCTTATCATTGAACACTTCATACTAGACTCTAGTTTTCTGTTTCCCCCAGCAGACCCTCAGATCTGGGAGGGCAAGTACTAAGTCATATTCCTTCCCTGTGGCTATTGCTTCTAACATAGTAACTCATAATAGACTCATGACTAACATCTATTGAAATAAAGCATCTAACACATTTTCAAAGAGTTCCAACAAATAATGATTTTCATGTCCCATGGTTACTCATTCTTGGTTTAACAAATCTATCACGAAACTTCTTTTAGACTAACCTAAATCTTTGCTATAGTAATTTAACTTTTCTCTTGATGACTGAATAGTATTCTGTGTATGGACATGTCACAGTTTGTTTATTCACCCACCGAAGGATGTTTGGGTTACTTTCGCTTTTGAGTTGTTATGAATAAAGCTGTTATTAATATTCATGTACAGGTTTTTTTGTGTGGATATGTTTTCATTTTTCTGGTATAAATGCTCAAGAAATAGTTGGAACATACAATAAGCACATATAATGTTGTAAGGAACTGCTGTACTCTTTGCCAGACTGGTTGTGTCATTTTATTCCCCATCAGCAATGTGTGAAAAATCCAACATCCTTTCTGCATCCTCTCTTCGGAATTTGGTGTTATCATTATTTCTTTTTGTTTTAGTCATTTGACTGGTGTGCAGTCATATCTTACTGTAATTTTAATTTGCATTTCTCTGAGGGCTAATTTTGCTGAACATCCTTTCATGTACTTATTTGCCATCTGTATATCCTCTTTGATAATACAGACATCTATTGCGGCTACCATGAGGTGCTTCTTGCTTCCTCCTTGATTCTCACTGAATTCAAAGGCAAGAGTAAATTGCTTACAGAGAGATGATGAGTTACGGCACTTGGGTGCTTACTATGTTCAAGAGAGCATTCTAGGTACTGAGAACAAAGCAGTGAAGACAACAGACAAAAAAAACCTTGTTTTCACATAGCTTATGATCTAGTAGGGAGGAGATGGCCAGTAATGAAAATAAATAAGTTAATTTATAGTATATTAGATGGTCTTAGGTGGTTTAGAAAAAAAGGAGTAGTAATTATTTTAATTATAATTTAAAATAGAACAGTCAGATAAGGCCTCATTGAGAGGAGACATATGAGTGAAGACCCGAAGAAGGTGAATGGGGAGAGACCATGTGGTTGCCTGGAGGAAGAGCATTCCCGGCCTTGAAGCGAGTGTGCATGGCACGTTCACAGAGTGTCAGGTGGCCAGGACAGTTGGGCAGTGTGTGGGAGCCACGAGATCTGAGTGACAGTGGAGGCTGGCCTTGTAGGGCCTTCTGGGCCTGGCTGGTACTTGGTGTCTCATTCAGTGAGGTGGGGTGTTTGGAAGGTGTTGGGTGGGTGAGTGGGGTGGCAGATTCTGATTTCACTCTGAAAGTGAAGTCCTGGTAGCTCTGTTGAGAACGGCCTGAGGGGAGAAAGGTGGAATCAGGGAGACCCGTTTGGAGACTATTGCAGGCATCCAAGTGAGGCATGATAGTGACTAACATGGGGTGGTGGCAGCAAGAGTCATCAGAAATAGCACATCTCGGATGTATTTTGAACTACAGCAGTCATAATTCTTACTGAGCTAGATGTGGGGTGAGAGAGAAGGAGAAAGGAAGTCTGAGGTTGAAGTTTTTTGGTTTGGATAGTGGATGGATGAAGACATCTTTTTTTTTTGACATGAGATCTCATCTGTCATCTAGGCTGGAGTGCAGTGCCACAATCACAGCTCACTACAGCCTCGACTTCCTGGCCTCAGGCAATCCTCCCACCTCAGCCTCTCAAGTAACAGACTGTAGTTGCATACCACCACACCCCACTAATTTTTAGATCTTTTTTGTAGGAACTATTGCCCAAGTTGGTCTCAAATTCCTGGGCTCAAGCAATCCTCTGCCTTGGATTTCCAAAGTGCTTTGATTATGGGCATGAGCCACCACATTCAGCCTAGATAAAGATGTCTTTAATCGAGACAGAGAAGACTGACAGGAAGCTGGTAAGCTCGGATTGAGATGAGTGCCAATTAAGGGGACTTTGAGATGACCAAGTGGAGATGATCAGAAGGAAGTTGGATGGTGAGTCCACCCAGGGAGAGACTTGTGTGAAGATATTAATTTGAGAGTTATGCTCGACACAGCACCTACCACACAACTAGTGCTCAAAGTCGAGGTTCCCCAAAATGGTTATAGTTCCTCAGGTTCCATATCTAAAATATCCCTAGGGCCAGGTTTTAGAAAAGTATTAAGTTGAACCACCTGAAATTGCAAATATCTGACCATTTTGACTTACAATAATAATAGTTTCATATGTTTCTCCCAAGTAATGCATGACATATGCCTTATATTATATAACACTCTCAGTGGAACTTGAAACAACAGCAAATTATCAAATACGGAACCATTTCTGCAGCCTGACATGTTCATGCTGAGTGTGGCAGATAAGGATTTCAAACAACACATGCCCTTTCAGGTCAGTTTTTGCTGTCAAATGAGTTACAAAAAGCTTCAGTTTTTAGAGCTTTTTGGATTCTGTTGATAGACTTGTATTATTATCATTGTTGTTGTCATTATTGTTATTATTACCATTCTACGTGGCATCCAGGAGTTTGAACTAGGCCAATAAGTGGAAGCAAATTTCAGTTCAATTTTAAGCCTCTGTCAATACTGTTCAAAGATAAATCATGCTGCTTCCCAAGGTGGGAGCTCTGTTTCAAGGGTAAGTTTCAGACCTGAACAATCACTTACTGGGAATATTTTAGAGGAAATTTGATTATTGAAGAGGCTATTGGAGTTTATGTCTTTCACAGTTCTTGATCTTCTGAGACAGAATGATTCTAAATCATTTCTATTTCTCAGACCTTGTTCTCTCTATCTGTAAAATGGAGCTGGGCAGTTGAACTTTGTGGTGATTAAGGATGCTTTTGGCATTAATGTTTTCAGGGTCTCTGTGTTTCTCTGTGATTTCTCTTTGCTCACCAGTTGTTTCCCCACCCATCTCTGCCACCCCGACTTACCTCCTTATTTGTGAGTAACCCTTTCCCCAGACTGTAGCATAGCAATTTCTCCACAATGTGCAGTGAGGGATTAGAATGGACAGCTGGAATTCGTCAGCAGACGTTTTCCCTGTTGCTGCT